CTCTCATCTTTTTAAGTGGGAGAACTTGCACAATTGGTGGCTGACTAAATACTTTTTTGCCCCACTGTATATCCCCTAAGAGGAACTGAAAAAAAAGAAGGTTGCCACCGGTATAGAAACAGCTTTACCCAATGGCTGCTTTAATGATGTTTGAGCCTATTCAAAAAGCTGCTTTAAAAAATAAACCACTTAAATATAGCTATCTTGAAATTTTATACTGAGTTATATTGCAACTGACGTATATTCAGAACACTAAAATACAATTTGCCTGTGGGACAAGTGTCCATTGAAAGGCTCCTGGAAAGTTTTAAATTTAATCAATATGGACGAGACCGGGGGTGTCTGCAGGGTATGGCCAAAAAAATCAAGATGGCCAAGGTGTGATGCACATAAAAGTATGATGTCTTGATTGCACTGCTGGGGTGACCATCTTGACTTTTTTGACCATACTTTCTGGACACCCCGGACAAGATAGTCCCTGTCTTTAGCTTTATTGTATCTAGAAGACACAAAATAAAAGGGAGAGGAGAGGAGAATGGAAGAGGAAAAGATGTAAATGCAAGCAGTATTTTGTATAATGACCAGCTTAGGAGGCCTCAGTGATGTGGCCGTGTTCCCTAACTCTTTCTGTTCCAATCTTATAGAATTTGTTTTCTGTTTCCTAAGAAGTACAAATGAGAGAATTAGCCAGAAACTGAGTTTCCCTTATTAGATAACATTGCTTCAATAATTGTAATTTTTTTTTCAGTAATACGCTTTAAAGCACTGCATATCCTATGCATCACTGGCTGTACTGGACAATGTGTGATACAGAAATGTGTTAAATGAATAAAATAAATATATTGCTATCCTTCATTCATTCCACTTGCTTTGTTATTTAATTCTCCATCCCTTTTTCTGGATGGCATTGCACTGCCCCAAACAGAACCAGTGCACAATTTTGGGGTCCTCCTTGACCCATGGCTCTTGTTCAAGGAACAGGTAGAGGCCGCGACCAGGAGACCCTTTGCACAACTTTGTGTTGTGTGCCAATTGTACCCTTTCCTGGACTAGGAGGCTCTGCTTATGGTCCTGGATGGACTATCGCAGTGCACTGTACATGGGGCTGCCCTTGATGAGACTCAGGAAGGCACAGTTGGTACAAAATGCAGCAGCGTGGACAGCTATGACCACTTCTCAACCTGTGCACATTAACCCGCTGCTCTGAGAACTTCATTAGCTGTTCATATGCTTCCGGGTTCAAGGTGCTGGTGATTACCTATGAAGCTCTCCATGGCACGGAGCCAGGTTATTTGTGGGACCACCTCTCCCCAGTCATGTCTACCCGTCCCATCAGATACAGCAGGGGAACGCTTCTTCGTTTTAAAAATTGGAGGCAGAAATGAGACACTAGAGGGGACTAAAGACCCCAGGCAGAGGAAAAGACAGAAAGAGAAGCCTGCTTTTGATTAGCAGTGACACTTGTAAAAATGACGGATAAGGATATTACATTGGAGACACTTCAAAGGATATTTGAAGAAATGGGAAAGATGCTCGCAGCTACGACGACAGCAACAATATCTGCCTACGCAAATGCATCATTCAAAAAAGATTTTAAAGAAGAAATGAAAGAGGCGAAGGAGAATAATTTCGAAGAATTTATAGACTGACAGGATGGAGATCAAACCCTACGTCAGCATTTTAATGAAGTAAAGATCAAGATTGGTAGGAGCAAAAGAAAGGAATATAGTGTTGTTTCCTGTTCGTCTTCTTCATCACTTAGATAAAACCATGATGCTGTGTTGCTATTTCGTATCCCTTAGATAAAACCATGATATTGTGTTATTGCTATTCGTTCCTCTTTAACAATTTCAAACAGGTTGTGTATTCATTTAGCCATGAATAAACACTTGCTCGGCCCTTTTTGGGAAGAAAAGGCTGAAGTGCAAAGCGGTTCTAAAGGGCAATATAGTTCCCAAGCCATTCTGCTTTATGAGGGCAGCTAAAGGTGAAGAAGAAGAGCAGGTGAAACTACATGTTTTTCTTTTCCAGTTGGATGCCTTCCAGATGTGTTGAGATACCACTCTCATCCCCATGAATGTGCATAGGCCTGTTGAGTAGGCACCATGGAAGTTGTAGTCCAGGACATCTCTTGGGGCCCAGATAGGGAGAGCAAGCGTGAAGGAAGGCAGGAAGCGGCTTTTGTTGGACCGCTGTCCTTCACCAGGGGGACTGCAGTGGCTCTTCCCATATGTCCAATTGACACCTCTGGATAAGATGGCGATATGAGAAACCGAGCCTTGCAATAGCTCCTTTGAGAATCAACGTCAACATTATTTAGTTATTATGATTATTATTCTGGCCAATTTCATGTCAAAGGAAGTGATTAAAGGCTATCTCAGTAAGAAGAGAATTAAGGGAGTCAGTTGAAGCAGATCTCAGAAGGTAACATCATCACTGCAATCAATATTAAGGTACTCTTGGAAAATTCCAATTAAAGACTAAGAAGCTTCTAAGAACTAGTAATAGTTGCAAGATTATAAATCTTTCAGCTAGTTACCTGCTTCTCTTCTGCATGTATAGGCTAAAACAAGCTAACAGATAGAACTGCTATAATTTATTAGACATAATGGTTCTTGTAGAGATTATGAACAACTTGGTTTGCAGCCTTTAACACAGGAAGCTGGGTTAACAAAAACAAGTAAAATTACTGAATTTTTTTAGTCTCCTAAGAGACTGCAAATAGTCAAGATTTGACTAAGGATACAGACAAGGTACCTGACTGGTCCTTAGGTCCCACTCCCTTGTAGGCACTTTTTTTCTCCAGCAAACAGTCAGTGAAACTGGTGTGAATTGCTTGCTTTTGCTGAGAATCAAGAGCTCAGCTATAGATTTACCCACAGAAATTATGGAAGCTTGGACAGAGGATGATCCAAGAACCAATAAAAGGGAATTATCTTTTGATGATGTACCCTCGCTGACTAGATTTAGTACTATGACTTTGCAGCAGACAACCCCCTCCCCCTCCCCACCCCCTGCGTGCCCACCTCAGTTTTGGATATTTTAGGGCAACAGTAGCACTTTGTTAATAAGGTAGGTATGGAATGGGACGTGGAACTTCCCTGGCTCAGAACCTTTTTAACTGAGTGCAAAGTGATTTAATATACCAATAAAGCAGAGTCAATCCAGACCCTTCCTGTCTGACTGTGGCGGGCTCTTCTGCTGCTGGAAAAACTCGTGCCCCAGCCCTGCTGCTCGGCCAGCAGCCTTACCTTAATTTGGGAAAAGGCTTTGCAATGCTTCGGGCACCTCTCGGAGAATCCGAAGCTTGTGAAGCTGCTTGTAGATCTCCTTCTCCACGTCTTCTGCCTGGAAGATGCGGGGAGGGGAAGCCCAACCCCAGAACAAAGGATCAGATGTTGTGGGGCAAGAGTGGCTGCTGACTCTTCTTCTTTGCTTTCATTCTCTGCGATAGTCCATATGTATTTCTATATCTATCTATCTCTGTAGCTAGAGAGAGCAAACAAGCGCTTTCTGATCAAGTGCTGAGTTCTTTGCTCTGCCCCAGTTCTGCCCTCCAAGTTCCTTGCACATTTAACTGCTCCTTTTTTATTGAACTTTTTAAAAGTTACTACTAACATTTTTCTGCAATTGCTGTGAAATCTATCCATTTGCACTTCTTTTTAAAATTTAATTTAGCACTATGACTAGCTCCAGCTTTGCTAATTTAAGAAGCGTTGGTTTTGCTCTGTCAGAACAGAGAATATTGGTACTAAGGAAATGTCACCCTTCACCTGAGGACTGAGAGAAGCCTGAAAGTTAACAGCTGATTTTACATTTTCAAAAATATTTTCATTTTTAGTAGGCATAGCAACACTATTGGGGAGTTAACACCATGTCTAGCAGAGGCTAAATGACCTCCCTCTCCCCGTCCTCCTCCTCTTTTCTTTTCTTTTTCACATTTCTATACTGGCAGAATCCAAACTTCTCGTGGTTTCCTCTCACAAGTTCCTTCATAACTTTAGTTTTAGACTGCAGGTCCTTTAACCCTTGATCACTGGCCATGCTGGCTAATGAGAATTGTAGTACAAAATATCTGGACGGCACCAGGTTGCCTATCCTTATGGGACTGAATGCATCCTGAGTTTCAGTATCAACTAATAGTCTTCTCTTTCCCTCATTTAGTTTACCATCTGATCAAGAGTTCTGAATAATTTAAAAAGTTGAGTGCTATTTTATTGCACTTTGCTTGGCCTAATGAATGCACTGCGCTAATATAGATTTGGTTATTTTATTGGCGTGTGGTACATGCCTTAGACTCCTTTGGGGAGTGGTGCTGGTGGAACTTAAAATATTTGCACCATGGCTATTTGACTTCTGCATGAGCTCCCATCATCCTTTTCCATTCCACCAGGGGGATTCCATGCAATGCCTATTTGTGCTGGGATGAGGAATGAGGCCCTGTGGCTACCTCACATGTAAATCAAATCAAGTAGCTCACCGATTCCTGCATTAATTCTGCTGCCTTCCCCAAGAGGGAATAGACTAGAAGGATTCCAGCCTGACTTATCCTCATCAGGGGATCATACATGGCTAGCAAAGATGTCTGCAGAAATGCTCTCTTCTGATCCTCTGTGAAGATATTCCTGAATAGCTGAAACCAACAAGTGGTCATATTACTATAAGAGCGTGGTAGGAATATTATTTAGTGCTTTTGTTTTAAAAAGCTATAGTGGAGACTTAAAACATTACGGAGTCTATTTAGGGCAGGTGCACATAACTTCCCTTTGTCAAAGAGCCATAGGATTGGTGGCTACAGTACAAAATGGGTGGGCCACATAAAATGACTTAGAGGTGGGTAGGCATGAAAATGAAATATGAATGTTATGACTTGAATTATTTCACAATGACATTTTAACACCCAAAATGAATAGTGATCCCCATAATCTCATATCTCAATTGAGAAGGTGCTTTTGTTCCACACAGCTAAGAATTCCAGCTAAAACCAAGTAGAGAGTTTCAGAATTTTCTTTCCCAACCTCCTGGAAGTATTTGCCATCTTTCTCTATAAAACCAAAGTGTTCAGAGCTAGCTGATATCTTGAAATTTAAATATTTTATTGCTCTATGTTCTTGGTGAATAGATAAGGGATTTGAAAACTGGAAAGAGTCATGGTGTTTTTTCCTCATCGTTCTGAAACCTCTGTATTATGTGTGATAGAAATCCACTTTTTAAGCTGATGCTGGGCATCTTCCTGGTCTTACATCTGTCTCCAGAAACCTATAACATTTTAGGGACTCAAGGAAGTCAATTTCCTTTCCCTAAGTAATGCTTTCAATATTCTGTGACCACTAGATCTCACCGTTACCAATACAAATCAAACTTCCTAATTCCTTTTCAGTTTCTGAGCATGCAGAAATTACTGTCATTACTGTCATAGCGTCATTTAATAAACATGGCAAAAGGATCTGTTACTAATACCAAACAGTAGAAGACATCTTCACTGGGTGCATCCATATTTCACCAGGACCAGCCCTACCATTAGAGCCAGTGTAATACCGGCTTTGGGAGATGGACTGAACAGGCCACACGTTGGGCCTAAATAGCATCTCCATTGCTGTACAAGGCAGCTGTTTCACTGTGCCTATGGTGTACGCTCTTCAGAAAAGGGGATGTCCTGATCAGTAATCCAGAAGCAGGGGATCCCCCAAACAATACCTTGCAAGAGACTAACACACCTTACAAGAAAGTATCTGTTTGACCACCTCACAATGTGTTACTCAGAAGACCCCCACAGACTGATCCATATAAGGCAGACTAATGAATGGCAGGACTGCTGTCATACACAAGAGTGTGCATGGCCCTTCTTGGCCTCCTGGCATATTTCACATCACCTGAGAAGGCTGGCCTTACCTCACCCACCCTGCAGGCATCAAGATAAGCTAGCATCTTCTTGTCTTCTGACTCCTGGCACCACAATTCTCCAGCCTCCCTTGTGCTCAGTCCTAAAAAAGGAGACACCAGAGGCCAAATTCCTATGTCACCCTGCATGATGAACTTTTCCAATTGTATGGCTGGCAAGCTTTCTGGACCTTTTTGTATCACACAGGGACTTGCAAGGGACCCTGCATTTTTCTTCCAAGGGGATCTGTCTGAAACATTTCCATCTAATTCTTGCTGTAATATGAAGCCAGACTTGAGAAACAATCATGCAAATGGGTCTAGGGGAATATATCCCATTTCTTATTTATATAAAAGTAGGGCCTAACGTTTTGAGGATGCTTCATTTTGAAGGGACATATATTTTTTAAAACAAGCAAGCAAATAAAACAAAGACAAGAAAAATAGTATCATGTATGCAGCTTTCAACTGGCTGCTGATTCTTTGCTAATTGAGACCCTTTCTGGAAGAAGAATGAATATGAAAGATACGAAGTATGTGCTTCATATAGGATGTTTGCTATCTGGGATCCATACAAATAAAGCAAAAAACAGAGCGGGGGTCACTTCTAGCCAAGGAGGGGGAAGTGTGACAGAGGCAAACTGGATTTCAACATCAGCATCAGAATTTCTAAAAATGCAGCTGTGGTGAGATAAGACACATTTGTCCTCTCTCTTCAAGTAGATTTCAGGAAGATAGGGTGTAGGAAGCTTCAGGCCAGTACAATTCAGATGATGCATAGCTGTTCCTGAAATCTCTAGAAACACAGACTTTGAAAAATGCTCTAAAATAGGGACAGTCAGCTTGTGCCCCTTCCGATGTTGCTGCAGTAAAATTCCTAGCATTACTCACCACTGCCATTCCTAAATTTTCCATCATCACGCCTCACCCCGCCTCCCCTTTCAGGATATCTGCTAAATCCACCCACTGTTTAGCAGGTGTGAAAAAATAGGCATGAGGCCTCCACTGCCATCTTCTCTGCAGTCTTTGCAGTCTGCTTTAGGTCTTCCTATCAGCCCTGTCCCAGTTCCAGTTTTCCAACTACGCCCCACCAATGTTTGCAGCACTCCCTTTCCTCCATATCATCAGCCCACCACAACTGATCTTCCTAGTCCATTAGATTTTCATAGAACACTATGAGTGTTCTGTTTTTTAAACCCTGTGATTTCTCTAAAAGTTTTACTTCCTCATGCCTGCCCCCTGAAAGTTTTTCATGCCTCTTCCTCCCAGTTTGGGAGCTGCTGTTCTCCTGGGGTGAGAGTGATTTTAAGGAAGATATACATAAGCTCTTGGGGATGACCAATTGTTTCCTAACCAGGCTGCACTTACCCATCTGATTCAGGAGGAGCTGGTAAAGGTAGCTAATGGCTTCCCTGGCCTGGTAGCTCACCTCTTCCACTGAATCTGTGATACAAACTCCAAATTGTGCTACCTGGTGTCCCAAAGCAGGTAGTTCCCCAGATTTCTAGGAAGGAAGGAAAGAAAGAAAACAGAAGGAGTCTCTTCTCTCTCTGTGTTTTCTGTTAGCTCTTCATTTCATTTCAACCAATCTCCCCACAGCTAAGGCAGGGTCTCAGCATGAGTGTGAAGTAGTCCTCCCATTTCTGGAATGAGAAACTATCCAGAAAGATGCTATGTTTTGGAAGAGATGATGGATGTAAGACGTAAACAGGCTTTGCAGTCTAGTGACTCAGAATCCCACCCCTACTCCATCACTTAAATCTTGGAAGAAACTGGAAGTTCCCAAGATCTTGTGCAACAACACTGAAATCTTGCAAGCTTTCAGTGTACTTGGCGGACATTCTTAGCCATGTGCATGATTGTGCAGTTGTGACTGAAAATGTTGTTGATTCCCTTCAAGAGTGGAAGTGCAAAGCAATTTGCTGCACAGTCTGAAGGAGAGATCTACTTTAAGAACGAGAGCCAGTTTGGTGTAGTGGTGAAGGTGCTGGCCTAGAAACCAGGAGACTGTGAGTTCTAGGCCTCCCTTAGGCATGAAAACCGGCTGGGTGACTTTGGACCAGTCACTCTCTCTCAGCCCAACCCACCTCATGGGGTTGTCATTGTGGGGAGAAGAGGAGGCAGGAGTATTAGGTATGTTTGCCGCCAATAATAATAAAAAATATGTCAGAGGAATTATTCAGTTGAGAGTATCAGCAAGTATCCAGTGGGGAAGTAGATAAAGAAAATGATGAAGAGGAGTATCCTCAGTTATAATCTTGTTGGAACACTGCAACGTTGCGTAGAATAGTTTCCCTCAATCTGGTGGACCTCATATGGGTTGAATTCAACTCTTAAAACTTCCAGTTGACATGATCTCTTAATGCCACAGAAAATCACCTTTCCTTTCAACTTGTGGCTCTTCTTTTCCCATGTGTAATTCAATGGGGAGACATTTTTCAGGAGGGAAGTTCTCCTGTGGGTCTTAAGGTTAGTTAGGGTCAAAAGAAGTTCCATAAACATGGAAAGGGCCATTGGTGCGTTCTTCTAATATGCTTAGTATTTCAAAATCCAAATCAGCCATGGGGTACCTACCTCAAAATTTGATTGCTGAATAGCATGGTGAAGCAAGGAGACACTGCACTTAATGGCTCTGAACCTCTCTTGAGGGTCTTGCGAACGAATCCAAAAATTGATGTGCTGTGGAAGGAAACAGCAAGTTAGAAAAAGATTGGCCTATCTTAATCCAGACAATGTCCAATTTCTATTGATATCTATGTCCACTGAAGAGTCTTGACCCTCTTTGTTCCATTTCTTGATCCCGAACAACTCTCTCTCTCTCTTTCTCTTTCTGTATGTATGTGTGTATGTGTGTGTGTGTGTATGTGTGTGTGTGTG